TCACATAATCACTTATATACTCTCGAATTCTATGCATTCATCTCTCTTATTTCGGATAATTTCTGTTCATGAAAATGAAAGCCGATTGATTACTTTCGGGTGAAATAATCTGAAGATTTTTATTGAATGTTACATGTCATTTAAACAAAAGTTTCATTAATGCATTAGTACATCAGTTTGGCTTTTATTAAGGAAGCAGTTTGATGCCGATGAAGAATTAAAAAAGAAGACAAATTTGTAAAAACTTTTATGGTTTCATCAATTAAGTCATGTTCAAGAAAAATCGCACAATTACTTTGAAATTGTCAACTACTGACTTGTCAAGAGAAAAGATATTCATTAGATACAACATAATAATATTACCTGGTTTGATGATTGAGAAGAAAAACACTAAAAAAAATTGAAGTTATGATAAGTCAATTCAATTCAAATTGATTATTTCAGGGATCATCCTTGAATCATGAATAGACAACGATCATGAATAAACGATACTACGTATTCTTGCAAAATTCATAGGTAGTTTATTTAATTCATCTCATAGTTAGTTTTTTTGATCAAACTATAGGTTGAAGATATTCGCTCACTAATATGGTTGAATGAGATGATCATCAAATTCCAAATAACAATATAAATTCAGTAGAATAGACTGTAAATGTATATATTATAAGGAAAAGTGTAGATTTGAAAAGAAATGTTGAAATTGAAAGAAACGAAAAGATTGTAGAAATTTATAACAAATAAATAGTATTGGTAATAGATCGATACAATACATACGTCATATTCATTAATTAACTCATTCATTATTCATTGATGGAAGAGACTGATTAGGTAAGTGAATGAATGGCTTCGATGGTACTTTGCCTGAAAATATATGGCCAAATGGAAGAGCATTTTCAACAATTGATATCATCAATAAATTCTCCACATTTTGCAATATAAACGATCTCATTCTATACTTTTATTACTTTAACGACGTAATCAAACGAAAGAAATTCAAAAAAAAGTTCATTTTTTACATATCAATCACTCACCGCCACTTTCTTCAAATAAGTTATTGTTAAGGTAATCCTTTTCTGAATCCGTTTAAATCTTCCGATTCTTTTATACTCAAACTGTTCTCTTTTCTCATTTCTTATTTCTCCAACGTCTTTACACTTTTATAAGTGATTGAAGTTGATCATATTGAAAGTAAGAAGAGGTAATAAAAGTTATCGAATCAGAATTTATCCCTTAATTACTTTAATTAAAACATCCTTAGCATTGCCTAAGCAATCGTTACAGATACGATTCCTTGCTCCTTTCTTCCTTCTGTTGCATTAACCGATTTCTCCAACATTTAAAAGTGTTTCTCTCAGAGCAATTGATGAAAGCATTAAATGTGGTAAATAATAATAACATTGACGTATGCAAAAGTATTGCATAAAAAAAGAAATAAGAATATTTGGAAATACATCTGAATATATTCTTTATCGTTATGGATATGGAATAAATGACAGACAGACACACACACACACACACACACACAAACATACACACATACACATACACACGAATTGCTTACTACGTAATTTTTGAGGATGAAAGAAACAATAGAGAGAAAAAAGATTGTGGAGAGAGAGAGGAAAAAAGAGAGATACAAAAAAAGAATCTTCCATGAATTATTGCCAGAAAATTTTCATTTAATTGCATTTAAGTGAATCAATCAGTAAGTATAATTTGAAATAAGCAAAAGTGAATGAAAGATATTTACAAAATCCATTCTATCGTACATTTCCAATGAAACTGTTCGTTTCACATACATTTAGGATCACACGATATTAACTTCATTTGAAATTAATCAGAATTATAACTCTTCTCTGAAACTCATTGCAATGTGAAATTAATAATTAACAAGGTTGGATTCTAATGGAGTAGAATACGATGATGATAACGATGACCTCATTCCCTCATTATATAGCTATGGATGAATCACCCTTTAACTATATTTCCAACATAATTAATTGTTATGTCATTCATTAGTAGTCTGAGCTATATTAATCATAATGATAATTTGATAAAACAATGAATCATTTGCTGCTAATAAAATTAGTCGCTCATAAGTAATGGATAATAATCCAAGTGCGATATATTCATTCATTTCTTTTTTCATATACTTTCCATAGTATGAAAATGCTACAGTAACAGCGATAACAACCAAATATTATTAATAGTAATTAGTATTCAATGTAATCATATATTACTTTCCACCCGAATTATCCCAATGCTAATAGAAAATCATAGAGTAATTTATATAAGAGAAAATCTCCCATATAAATATTGATTGTTTCAGAAATTGATGATAAGATGGATGGCAAATATCGTTGTTGCGATATTTTTGAAATTAGCGTAATAGCAAATAAAAATATTTGAACAAAAGTTTCTTTGTTATTATTAACTGACAGATAATATGAATGGAATAATTTGACATTTCATAGCTAAGTGATAATGTTTATAGCATTTTGTTAAATTTCAATGACTTATGAACTTTGCAATTTTTTTCCTATTCGTTAATAAACCCAATAATTTAGCAATTTATGAATTCGTCTGAGAAAACCGGACTAATCACTCAGACTAGAAATTACGTTAAATTTAGCAAAGAAAGGAAAAAAATGTAATCAGAATTCATTTGCCAAATGACTAAATTAAGATCGTTAGTCACCTTCCACCAACTACATAATTAATTAAGTAGTTTATTATGTTACTTAAAAGTTCTCCTAAAACAAAAATGCTACAGTATATCAGATATCACACATTAAGGTTAAGGGAACATGCAAAGTTGCTGCTCAATAATTTAGAAGAAAAAATTTCAAATCCTTTCTCTAAAAAGTCTGAAAGATAGAGATTTCAGCTGTATCATAATTCTTAATTTAAAAAAGTGAAAATTTCAAGCAAATTGTTAAAATTGAATTACAATTGAAAATCACACATATAAGAAATAAATTTAAGCGAAAGTTTAAAGACTTTATTTTTCTTGAGATCTCAACAGATTTCGGTAATTTATAATATAATTAGAGAAAATAAGTGAGAAACTAATTTGTCATATTAATGAATATCTGTTTGAAGCAAAGAATAATCAGTTCATTATCACTGATTCTTTATTGTTATTGTCGTTATTATCGTGCAATGATAAGAAGAAATAAAAAATTGGAGGAAATTAGTGAGAATGTTATAAAACCTCAGACATGAATTGTTTTATTCAATTTAATTTAATTTCGAATCCATGTGTAACTCATTTTAAATTTCTCCATTTCTCCATTCCCTCTGTTTATTCCTGAATAATTTTCAAAATTAGAAATCTTGGGATTCAGAAGAATAGGTATACTTGTCTTCTTCAGTAAAATAATAAGTACGGTAATTTTGGGAAGATGCCTGTGCGCAGAAAAAGAGATAGAGACGGAGGAAAGGTATTGCGTTCTACTGCTTCATATAAAATATTTGAGCATGCAATAGTTGCTTGAATGGTAATGACAGATTACTGCACAGAAATGTACAGGTAGATAAGGTTGAATGTTTGAAATTTCTGAATGGTTTTCAGTGAAGTGAGGTCAGTTACTAATTGTAAAGTCAACGGCATAAAACTTTCTAAATTACGGTTAAAGAAATTTATTAATGTGAACAATTTGCTTTGTCATAAATAAAATTATTTAAAAAATTTTTTAACTTCTGCAGGATTGTAAGTGGCTAAATTCAATGTATTGTGTATTTGGAGGATACAATAAATTGAAAACATTTAACAATTCTTTCTTTTTGTTTATTTAATTTATTAGCTAAATTAGCTATGGAGAAGTTTCTAAAGAGTATTAAAAATACTTTAGATTCTGAAGAAATCTCAGAAACATTATTTGTGGTCTTTGATCATTGAAAATTTCAAGTTTATTGCTTTTGGAAAAACTATCAAACATTTTGTTAAATTTTGCTTTCCGACTCTGTTATATCTAATCATTTAAAAAACTATTCATTTCATTACTGATTTGATCCTTCTTGAATTAGCAATGAATTCATTTTAAAAGAGAAAAATTCTGATTCACAACCTTTTTCTTGATTTTGTTTAATTACGTATGGGATAGATTTAATGAAGAGTTGCAATTACTTGATCTAATGATCAATTACTTGATCTATTTTTGATCTATTGGCCAAGTAATTGCAATCCTTCTAGCTGAATTTAAATGTTCATTAAAAGTAAACAATATTGCAGAATGAAATCACCGAATAATTCTTAAAATTCGATTATTGCAATCTCAACTTCTCCTATTTATGATTATGCCAACAATATTACAATTATACTTAACCCAAAAAGTGGAAATGAATGAAAATAAATTTTATGTTTGATTAAATCATAGAAAATTTCATTTGTTTTACTTCAATTTAAAATTAAATTCACTATTTTTTGCATTCAGTGCAAGTTTCTAAAGTTGATATTTTGAAAATTATTTGAAATGCTTCATGTCTGCATAATTAGTGCTCATTATGAGTAATTATTTACGATCACCTGAACTATTTGATCAGAATGAGTTGGATATTTTCATCATCCAACATTACCACTATTAAGAAATAGCAGATCGATATCGATTATTAGCTAAATTTGTAGCACCTGGTTGGTAGCTAAATTTGTGACACCTGGCATTGACATCTGAATTCGCGACTTAAAATACAAACAATATGAATTTCATTTTGCTTCTTCGACTACTGCATTAAATTTTTGCAGCATCTCTTTCAGAATGTTCCAAAAAATTTCAATATTTACAATAATTACGATGTCATTCATAAAGCTTTTTGGCTGTTAATGACCAGCTTGTTGGTCATCCAAACAAATTGAACGATCTAATCAGTTTAACACTATCATATCACTAATTCAACATTATGTATTTATCAAACCAAAATTTGCAAAGCTCTTAAACCTTCAATTTCTCATTGTTTAAAATGTGAAAAAGCGGAAAAAAATGGCACCAATTTAATTAAAACTAATTGCCAGTATTTTGATTTACGGTCTTATCAACACTATCATTTCTGATCGTTTTCATCTTATCAACACTATCACTTCTGGTTGATTCAATTCTTTCACCATCCAGCAATAAATTCTTCGTTTTCACATTTAACATATATATCGAACTGAAACTCCGCTCATAATAACATATCATTATGAAAAATGTCAATAAGTCTATTGGCAATAAGTCAGACATTCATTTATTAATGCTTCACATTTTTTTGATAATTGGCCCAGCCTAGTTCAGTTTGCATTTGCAAAATCTTTGCATTATAATTGAAAAAATTTTTTTAGCAAATTTAGTTTGTTAAACTTAACATTCTAATATTATTAATGAAACTGTTAATTAATACTAATATATCACACACTGATAAAAAGAGATAAATTACAAATAAAGAAAGATAAACCTGCTGTTATCAGATCTGATAATTTTTTCATTATTCTGATCAATCGATAATAAATCACTTTCTGATGCTATCTTACGTAAGTTAGTATTGTTCTTCTCCACAATTCTGAATGATTATAATATCATAGAAATTCAAATTTCGTCTATAAAATGTAGATAATGTCTGAAAATGCTGTCATTTTAGATCATTTTTTAATATTTTACATAAAGTTTTAATAGTTCTACGGAAATTCCTTGAAAATTTGAAAGAATTAATTTACTTGAAAGGATTGCCAAATCTTCGACGATGTACTATAAATTTCACAAAAACTAGTGTATCCAAATGTCGTATGGTTCGTACACAATTTTGAATTTCCTGAGTTGTAACCGTTATCAGTTCACAATTTTCAGCTTCAGAAGGCATCGGATAGCGATTGTTTTGTGTTATCCATTCATGTTCCTGAAATTATGAAAGTTTTACTAATTGTAATTAAAATTACAAATTATAAATTCTAGCAATTATTATTCAGTAATTTTTCTTTGAATGTCCTATTTTAATATTCATTATCATCCATTCTTTAATTGATTTTTTAAATTTCAAAAATAGCTTTCAAATATTTTGATCAGAAAATTTATAAATATAACATTCATAAATAAATTCTTTCCTTCATAAAGAATAATTCGATTGACTACCTTAATTTCATTCATCATAAGTCTCAAGCCTGGATCTTTTTTGAGTAGGCTTAAAATCAGCAATTCCAATGGCTTGCTTATTATGGGCCTGAAAAAAAAGATTTGGTTGATATTATTTTAGCTGGATTTATCCATCCAAAATATGATTTGCAAATCAGGAATTTGAATTAAAAATCCGAAAATATCGTTACGATAGATGGATGCATTAATTCAGAAAGAAATAAATAATGGTAACTTACGTTTTCGGAAAACTAACAGCATCATTTCTAATTTTTTTATACAAAGCTGTCATGCATGAATCCCAAAATGGTACTGCACCATAAACGAAAGCATACAATGTGATACCTAAGGACCAGATATCCTGAGCTCGACCACTGTAGAAACACGATGAATCTTCTGAAATTTAATTTTTCGAAATTATGAGATTAAGATTCAGAAGAATACAATTGCAATTAATGGTTAGGAGATGGCAAAATGAACCCAATAATGATTATAGTAGAGGATGGCATTTCAGCCACTCTTCTTAAACTGCATCCAATAAATGGATTCGAAAATTCAACATTTCCAAAAATCGACAAGCCTGTGAGCGCTTCAGGTGCCATAAATGCCGGCGTTCCAACAGTCCCAGATAAAAATGCATCAATACCTTGAAATTCATAGGAAATCCCAAAATCTGTTATCTGAAATTTGCAAAATTATAAGATATTTAAAAGGCCTTAAATCTTAATGCCTTACAGAAATTTCATTAAAAAAAGGTTATGAATATTTGTAATTAAAATAAAATATCTCACTAAAAAGCGCAGGAAACTAATTCTAATGTTTCCAACTTAAAGAATAGTAAACAGCAAACCTTAACATGACCTGTTTTTGAGAGCAATAAATTCGATGGTTTGATATCTCGATGAACTATTTTCTGATAATGAACTAAAATGATAATCATTATAATATTAAATAGCATTTGAAAAAGAAAAGTAAAAGAAATTCTTACGATATTCCAGTCCTTTGACGACATCACGGAAATATGACCATGCAATTCTTTCATCTAATGGATTTTCCGTTGGAATTTCTAAAACAGGCCTGAAAAATAATTTTCAAAGGAAAATGTTTTTAAGACAATTCCATTATTAATCATAAAAATATCAACAAAAATGAATCAAATTTTAATTTTATTAATAATAAAATTTCTTAGCATAATTTGTTAATATTAAAGATAATTAATAAAACTTAGAAGTTAGATTTAAAAAATTTGTATGGATTGACTTACCCATTTTCAATTATTTCGAAAACCATATAAAAGTATTTGTCAGTTGGATCGTTTAATACCTAAAAATAACTTACACTAACAATTTTCTTAATTACTGCTCCATAACTCACGAATTTCCTAAATTGCTAACATCCTTATTTACCTTATTTACTTACTGATAATCTCAATTTCTAATTTTTCTTTAATCCACTTTTAGCTCTTCTTTAACTTCAAAAAAACAATAATCGAAATCAAATATTTAGTAGAAAATTATATTTTGAAATGAATAAATCTGTAATATTTACCTCAATAAGTTTTACAATATTTGGATGATTGAGCTTTTTGAGAATTGCAATTTCACGTTGAACGGCTTGTATCGGATCATGCGGAAATGACGGACAATTACTCGTCCGACGTGTTGGTGGAGGACCTGCGGAAGAAGTAAATTGATGAATTCTTTAAGAATTTATTTTTATATGTTTGGAAATAAAAAAAATAAGTAGTGAAAGGAAAATATGCGAACATACGGAAATAAGCAAAATTTTTGAGCAATTTCATCTTATCGAGCACTTTCAGCGCCTGTAATAAAAATTGAGGAAATTTTGAATGTCTTAAATGAAGCCTTCTGAATCATTCATTCTTTTTCAAATCCCAAAATCCATTTCACAAACAAAATTTTTGTGATTCGCACTTTTTCATTTTTTCAACATTTTTGAAATTCTTTTATAAATTATTAATTAAAATTAATTTCTTTAGAAATTATTTATTTTTGTAATTTCAAATAAATATAAAAGAAAAGCATACATATAAATTTTTATCTTTTTCGTTATAAGCCAATTTCACTATCCCATATGAACCCTAAAATTTCAAATAAATTCAAGAAATTTACAAAGAAAGAATACATAAGAGATTTTAATAATTCTTTATTAAAAGAAAAGACTATTAATTAATTTATTCAATATGGAATTTTTTTTTAAGCAATTAAAATTTGATAATAAAATAAGTTGAAAAGAAATGTTAAATTGTAATTTGGGAATTGAGGAATGATATATTATTGTTACATGTCCAATTTCCTGCATGAGGCGATACTGATTGAGTTGCTGATAATTTTTATCGATATTTTGCTTAAGAACCCATCGTTGCAACGAACAACGTATATTGTTGGGTGGTAATATTGTCTGCTGTAATTATCTTTTTGAAATTAATCAATTCATTGTTTATCCCATAATTAAATCATTTATTCTCATTGTTTTGCAATTAAAAAATTGCCAGTTAAATTTAAAAAATATTTATTGAATGAATTGAATTACATATCAAATTCAAATGAATCAAATTGAATTATAGTATCAACAACGAACTCAAACTAATTACATTACATTCATTATACATAAAATATCATACCGATCCGGGATGGAGAAATTTTTGATGACGCGGGAAAGTGTCACGATAATCGATATCCATTAGATTTATGCAAATATTTTTGGTTCGATAAAATTACAATTAAGGAAGAAAGAATTTGCTGATAATAATATTTCCTTCCGCTAAGAATTCCAAGCGGCATTTGTAATTGTTAACAATTTAATGCAACATTGTCTCATAGTCAGACAAATTTGTTTTATTTATATGAAATAGAACTTGAAAATGAATCATAAATCTATCCGAATTGATAACTTATCGATAATTAATGAATAAGGCATAATAAAATCGACTGCTCTAAACGTGAAATTATTTGATAGAAAGTGATGGAAATCGATGATATGACTAATTACTATAAATTAAAATGATTCACAGATCTTATTTTGAATATCTCATCATTTTCCCAATAGAATTTCACTTAAAATTTCATTTCATTGAAATTTTCTTAATAAAAAAATATATGGAAAAATAAGTGACAGTTTATGAGATAAAGAAAAAAAGTTATTAAAAAGAGTCTAAAATTCTAAATTATTTTATATTTCGCGTTGTAAGAGAAACGGAAAACTTCTGGCCTTTTAAAGGACTATAAATTGAGGAAGGCAGAAAAAATTTCTTTTTCAATGATGAAAAGCTATTAGAGAGGTGGCAGTGCCTTTTGTTCGCACTTCAAGTTGACGACAGCCTATAACATAACGGAAATGGAATTCGGGCAATTCCAAGGAAGCATTTCAAAAATAAATTACTTCACATATTTCAAGTATTGATGGAAAAATTTAATTAAAAAAATATCGTTCAATGGCAAATTAACACAGGAATTGTTTCTCGTAGTATAAATAGCTTATACTATCAGAACAAAACCTTTTTAGAGCCTTTTTTTGTTTTTCAAAGCAATGATATATTTATTTTAGGATTAAGATATATTTACATTAGGATTCGAGAGAGAGAGAGAGGGAGAGAGAGAAGGAAGAAATAGAATGTGTATAATGTTTAAGCAATTACTTTGAAATAATATTAAGATAGCAAAAAATGAATGGAGCAATAATAAGAATGGTAAGAGCTTTTGTTTCTAAGCTTTCTGCTTCTTGCAAGCATTTAATTTCATTGATTTATTAAGGAAAAGAATTAGTAATGTTTACCTCAAATTTATCAAAGTAAAGTTAACAATTAATTTAAGATGAAAGTACATTAATTAGCTATAATTAATTGGTTAATTAATTGGCTAGTTTGAGCTCTTTTGATATCTCTATAATTGATATTTATATTTCTACTTAGAATGAAATAGAAATTAATTTCAAAGCCTAAGATAAGAAATTCAAATATTATTTATTTTGGACTAATTTTTTTCAATTGAATAATTTCCATTTGCTAAGGGATAAGATTAGAATAAAAAGCCTATTATCATTTCTGTTATCATATCAGTTATCTTAAAAATAATAAAAGAAAAAATATTATATCATTTCCTGCAACATTTTCGATTTCGAATAATTCGGTAATAATAATTTTCGAGGAAATTCAGTAATGAAAAAGCACTAAACGATTAAATGAAATATTCATAAAATTGATATATATTTAAATTTAAAGAAATAAAAGTTAATATAGGAAAGTTCGAAATTAGTTTAAATATTAACAAACAATTTAAGAATACTAAAAATCAATTTTAGAAACTTTAAAATATTTTTTTAAAATAATTGACATAGCAATGGAAAAAAAATATTAAACTCATTCTTGTAATTTTTACTCGTATCAAATGGAGATTATTCATCAAATCAATAATAGATATTACCATTAAAATTTAACTTTAAAAAAGTTCTGTACAAATTGTTAACACCAAAAGAAATGATACAAATACTTCGAAGAAGTTTTAAGAGACTTTATTGATTAGAATGAGGTCGAAGAAATTATTGATTAAATACTATGGTTTGATAATGGCGCTAATATCCATTGTATTACATGATATACTAGACATATCGAACAGTGACGATGTTAACCGGATTGACCGGATAATATTAACCACGATTACACATATATTATATAGATAAATATGTGATCAAAAATGAATAAATTCGTCAATTTCATAGTTCTAGCAATCAGACTTGTCGAAACTCTAACTTAATTAGGTGGGAAGCCATGAAATGGATGATAGAACTATGTTAGGAGGAGAAAATTGTAGAATGAAGAATGTATGACATAAATAATTTAAAAATATTCTAACAGATGAATTCTTTCTTCAAGCCTATTAACTCTTCAATTCATAAAACTTCCAATTTAAATTCTATGATTTTACTATTGAAGAAAAAATTTGTATTACAACTTGAAAGGTCGAAATCAATTAATAACTCATTGTTTATTATCGGAATCAATTAATGATTCATTGTTTATTACTGCGGAAAAGTTTTTCTAATATTTAATACCAAAATAAAATTTAGAAATTAATTTTTTGAAAGGAATATTATTATAATCGAAATATATGTTTACAAATTATATGCGAAAAAAAATTGAATTTAAGCCAATCGTTTCAATTGCCAATAATATTCAAGCAAAGAGGAAATGCCCATTGTATGTTTTTGATGATTAACATATAAATTTTTTAATTTATTCGATTTATAATTTCTTAGGTTACGCATGACATAATTAATTACGTCCGAAATGACAATCAATAAGATCTGATAATATAGCGATAGAACTTTAATTGCTAAATTGAAGCTAATATTTCCTAAAAAAGAAAAAAAATATATAATTTGCATAACTTTGATAAGAGAGAAAGACCCCTCTTTCATGCAATAGAAATTGCTATCTTTAGTAAAATAATAAATGTAATTTTTTAATTTCTATTGTTTTCTTTTCCCACAATATCTACCACATTGTAATTTATGTGACAGTCATATTCAACGTATCAGTATCACATTGAACTGAATGAAACTTCAGTAATGTATCTTTTTAAAACTAATTTCTTCTCATTTTGCAGAAATTTTTTTCTTGCTTAATAATCATCTCTATTGATAGTTCAGTTCAATTTCAAACTGTTCTTTTGAAAGTTCAACTAAATCATTCGATTCTGTTATTATGCGAATAAATCTGTAAGTAAAAAGTGCAATAACACTAACTAAATCTCTTTTCGAACATACTTAATAAAATGTTAAGTAACTAAACCATAAATAATTTTGTTTATTAATGTTTCCTGAAAAGTTTCATTATTACTATTATTGCAACAATTGAAATGAACTGTTTAAATAGCTGTCAATTATATCTTAATGAAGTAAAATTAATTTTTTTAAACTATTAAAAATTTAAAGAATTTTCAGCCTTCTTCGGTATGAAAATTTCAATTTTTATATTGCGAAAAAAATTGAAGGAATAATGTTCGAAGTATAATTTCATATGAAATATTATTTTATTTAAAAGAAATGGGATATTCGTAGGATAGAAAAGAGTGAAGAAACTTTAATTCAATTATCAAATATACTACACACAACCAATTCTTCCATTAATTTTAAAAAAGAAAAAATAGAGCTTTTTTCATTCTTATCTGATATAATGAATACAATGGAATGATTTAAACAAGTTGGCTTAGGGCTTAAAAGTTCATTTATGGCTCAGCCACACATATCTTCCTAATTATCACTCACTCAAACAAAAATGCTATAATTGAATATTTGAAATTAGTGGGAGTTTTCTATAATAGAATATTTGAAATTAGCGAGAACTTTTTGCATTAACAATGATAACTTTGAATTAATTGCTTGGAAGGATGAATGTAATTTCAACTTTTACGAATTATTCTCCGCAAAAAGAATTTCGATGATATTTTACTTGCCGAATGATGCAATTTATTTTGCAAGTCTTACAATTATTATCAAAGATAATTCAGATGGAAGGAAAAGTTGACAATATTGGTAATAATTTTGAAGCAAAATTGGAGCAACTTTGATTTAAAAATTTTTTAACTCATAAAAAACTAAAATCCGTAAATTTATATACTAAAAACAAGGCCTTTGAAGTTTTCAGGAAACAAAATTTACTGCACCATTATATTCCTTAGGATTGAAATGAAATCATTGTGAATTTTATTTTAGATCATTTTAAATTTTAACCGATCATATTGAGTATGATATCTGAAAAGCACACAGATTGTATGTACCATACGACGAGAAGAAAATAGCCATTACAATATTTCACGAAAAGGAAATAAACGAAAATTAAAAACTAAAATTAACTAAATAAATGAATGTCAGATATTCAAATAAGTTTTATAACTATAAATTTCCAAATGGATCAATTAAAATAATGAACAGGAAAAAATTCCAAAATGATGGCTGAATCAAAAGAATTAATCGAATTATCAAATATGAAAAGAGAGATAAATTTTCTATCACAACGACAAAAACGGTTGCCGCAATTACTTTCCGTAATGTGCACTAAACAGAAAAGGGAAAACGGAAATGAATGGAAATATTGCATTTTTGTTCCGATTTTTATAATAAAACAACAGAATAAAGAACACATTAAAATATTTATGAAATAAATTTCAATTTATCAAAATCATTAATTCTCATATTCATAATATATTTAAATATCAGAATGATTTCAGCGAATCTCTCTCTCTCTTTCTCCTTCCGACAAATTACGGAAATCTTATCATTTTGAAGATATGAAATTCATAATTTTTTTATCGTATTCATTCATCATTTTCTGAAAATTTGTTCAAAAATGATTTCCGTCCGGATCGGAAGCGATCGATATACCTCCTCCGGAAGTTTTTTATTTGTGCAATGAAAATAGCAATGCGTACGTTGATGAACAAAAGTATAGAATACATTGTTTTGCAGATAATACGGTATTTTTTATATAATTGGGAAGGTTCGCCAAATTCAGTGCAAGTAATAATAGGTAGCATGAAACTGAATTGACTTCAAAATTCATAAGTTAATTAAAAACAAATAAATTAGCAACATTTCCTCTATGAATTGTAACATCGGTGATTCTTCTATCACTCAAAATATTTGTGTCATTCACGCCAGATATTATGTTCATCCAGAAGTGATGTATTTTTACTCATCTTCACTGAGAGTCAAATACGAGAAATGCATTTCTCTTATCAGTTACCGCAATTCTCGGGAAAATCTCTCGGATCATCCTGAAATTTTTCATGTCGTCGTTCTTTTTTTTCAAATTTATATTTTAATAGTTTGTAAAAACAGGAAAATATTTATTTTTGCCAATAAAACAAAATAAGAGAAAACAATTGGAATACTTTTATTTGCTAAGACAGTGTCGATGAAACGATGAAGAGAGAGAGAGAGAGAGAGAGAGATTTGAAAAAGTATGAGAAAAAAAGAAAAAATGAAGAAAAAGTACAATTCTTCTAATGAATAAACAAAAAATAAATGACATTTGTATAAAATAAGAAGAAGGAGTAAAATTAATGATAGTTTGATTTTAAATGAGAAATAAAAAGTCATCAATAAGAAAACCCTTCAATGGAAAGATCTATCATATTATTACTTCTTATCATGTCCTATATCATCAATGGAATGAATCATAATGGAGTAATTATAAAGTGACAAGAAAAGTCAGTGAAGTTTCTGGAAGAAGTAGAAAATGCATCGATGATTTGATGATATTGACATGAAATTGCAATCCGTCAGCTTTAGTCAGAAGAAAATATATGCATATAGAAGCGAATTGAGGTGTTTGAGGCATTTCCGTCCCATTAAGTCCTTCCTTTCTTATTTCAAGTAAAAAGGCTTTTCATATATTATACATACATACACATTTATGTATGTGTATAATATTCGTATAATATACTAACATAACTTTTGTTTATTTCTTCAAGTTTCAATACAAATTTTGGTAGTAAAAAATTTTTAGCAAATATGCAAATGATGTAAATACAAAGAAATTCAATATTTATTTATCTCATTGAAAAGCCTAACATTGAATTTCTATTCTCTGATACAATATAAACAAATAATAGGACAAAAGGATTAAGCAAATATCGTATACTTTTTAGGAAAGAGAGAGAGAAAGAGAAAGAGTGTGTGTGTTGTTTGAGTTTACAATGATATACAATAACAAAAACAATGGATAATATTTGAAAAACAAAATTAAATTTACTCGTACTCTACACCACAGGTGTACTGCTATGCATAGGCGCCCACAAAGACATAAAGCTTTATTACCTAAAATCGTACAATGTTGTAGTAGAAGTAAGAGTGAACATCATTTTTATGTAACATTGGACAAGAATAAATGAGATACAAGAAAAAATGGGATAGATAATTGATTGTGAGGAAGAAAAGAGTACGTATCTTTCAGGATCCGGTATTTCTAACTTGCAATACCAAAATTTTATATATATATATATATATAAACTATAAAATAATGTGCCGAAATATTTCAAAAGCCTTAGCTTAACTTCAATACCCTAAAAAAAAGGTTATAATTTGAAAAGAGAGATTGTTGTAATGAAAAAGAGAAAGGAAATAATGGAAGACATATTTTGTGTGATATATTTGCAAAATAAAACGATTCATTGATTCGTTAAAATTTTCGGATTTATTTTGAAAGACACTAATGAAAAAAGGTTTTATAAGAAAATGAAAAATAATTGACTAAAGAAAGCCCTGACTGGCATTTCTCGGCACATCTAAAAAACCCAATTAATCATTATTGGGAAAATCAATAATTTCTTTTTGTTGTTGACGTATATACAAAGGATACATGCGTAACAACAACAAGTAGCATGAAAAACAGATGTGTATAATGGCAGTGATAAAAGATGACAATATAGATCGGCACATATATGTAAAATTTAATTGAATATGAAAAGTATGGATAATCTAATAGAGAAAAGATTTACAGTAATAATAAATTTCATATGTAAAAATATATGAGAAGAGGTAAAGTTTTGCAATGCAACATTATCATAGTTTCCTATACAAATACAACTGAAAGTTTAGGAAATTTTGGCAGCTGTCGAAAAAAAAGGAACTAATGAAAGACAAAAAAAATAGAAATACTGCCACTTTGTTAGCTTCAAAGAATGCGAAATTTAAATTTTAAAATGGATTAAAACCAAACTTTAGAAGATAGTTTTTGATTTATCCTTTGTTATCACAAAGGATACTGTCTGCAAAAATTTCATCCCATTATGAAAAATTTTGAAAAGTTTTTGCTTGCAAAAATAAAAGTAATTGTTGTTACATTTTGAAATAAAAAAGAAAACAAAGAAAGAAGAGAGCATGTATACATAAAGCGTTGAAATCACCAAATTTGAGATAAGAAGGAATGAGAAAGAGAAAAAAAATAAAACAAAATAACATCCGTTGTTGTTTTGAAAGAGAAAATAATTAATTACAAAATTTAAAATATCAATAAAACATTTTATGCTATAAAATAAAACTTTACAGAGCATCTCCTTTAATTATCAATTTATATAAATTATTTTTAAATATGAAAAGCAATTTGTGTTCAACGATTTTCAACAATAATTACCACAGTTTATGCTTATTGTTAAAATAAGGAAATTATTGAATTTCAACTTTTAGCATTATATTTTAATTATAAAAATTTTGTTACTATAAAATATAGCAAATAGAAGCGATTAAAAATAAATAATTTCAATCCTTTGCTAATTTTTTCCCATTCATTCTTTTTATAAAAGAGAATAATTATTCTTTTATCTTTGATTGACATATTACTATGATAATTATTCCAATTTACACCATAAATTTCATTCAACATCTTCCTATCTGACAATAATCAATGAATGTATAACCTTGAAATTTATTCCTGTCTACATTTATCGTTTATAAGACAGTCCCAATCAAAAAAGAAATATAAAGACAAATGGGTTAAATTATTTTCGAAGTGTTGTAGAAAAATTGGATTTGGAAGAAGGAATTGAGTGTCCGAAAATTCTTCCATAACTACTTTCCATTTTAATTATTTTTATAATTAATAATTTTAATATAATTAGAATGAAAATTTTAAATTGATAAGAGAGCTCTGTAAACAAAAAATAACAAAGTAAACAATAATATCACTTTAATTTTCATTCTGAAAAGAAGAAAATTTAATACTTCATATACAATTAGCACTAATAATGAGGAAATTTTTTGAGAGAAATAAAAAATAACTTGTCGAAAATGAGGCAGAATTTCGTGGAAGTACACTATCGGCGGATGATGATACTGTTGACTTCTTATTTTTCCAATATACTTAAAAAATAATCGTTGCAATTACACAAATCAATCGATTCAATTTTTCGTTTATATTATTTTACGGCCATTTAATATTTTCCAATAATAAAGTTTATTTATTTATTTGTTTGTTTGTTTTTCTATTGTTATTATTGATCCCATGCATTCGGTGAGGGAGGAAATTCGGATGGTTGCGCCACCGATGAGCTGCAAAAAATCATTTTTTAATTAGGCTTCAAAAGATTGAAATGATGTTCTGATTGATTAAGAAAAAACTACTGTTTATCAATAAATCATGGGATATTATCATCTCTTCCCTTTCTAGTTTTAGTACTTGAAAAGGAATTTGAATTGAAAGAATATGGATATTTGAGAAATGAAAAATTATTATATATCTCCCAGAAAATGAGTATTCTATAAGGTATAAAATAATTTGTTATTTTATGCAACAATTAAAAATCGATAGTAAACATTAAGAAAATTCATATTTCTTTATGATTTTCTACCACAAAATTCTCTCCAACCTTTTTCATATATCGCAAATATTGCAAAAATTATAGGAGAAGGAAAAGAAAAGTCGAAATTATAAACGAACATTTTCTACACTCACCTGGTGAAAGTTTTGTATGAGGCAGAATTTGGATTAATAGTAAGCGCAACACCAAATGGTGGCGCACGTTCGGTAACAAATCTATACATTCGATCTCTTAGATCAAACATTGACATGCGTGAAAGCTCCTTCTCCCATCTCGGATCGAATGGATGCTCATGCTAAAAATATTGCAGCAAAATTGATATATGCCATTTTAAAAGAAACAATTTTAGTAAATTAAAAGTGTATATTATTAAAACTGTCTCTTTCTCTTCTTCCTACCTATTCCAAATATACGCTATTTTATTGTATAAAGTAAATATTAAAGTTATTGCAATTATTAAAATCATTACAATCTTGTTTCCTCTAAATATAAATATATCCATTTTAAATTGTTGAAAATTATTGAAATTAAATTTCTTAAAATTAAATTAAAAAAAATTACTTACCACAGGATCTAAAATTTGTGAAAAGATTCGTACATTTGATGGTGTAGTATAGCAACATGTACACATACACGAATGAAAACGCATTCGACCCTCATCCAAATAACGATGGCTTAATGCTGCATCTACTGTGACACGTTTTTCCTATACAATAGTTTTTTAAATTGTTGAAATTTAATTAAATAATTAAAATTGTTTGATTGATTGGTTAAAATTATTGAAATCAAATAGTTGGAATTATTAAAATCAAATAGAAATTTTCTTTCAAAAACTTATTAGCTATTCAAATTACCACTATCAAATTTTGTTTTTATGATTATATAATTAAAAAAGAAATCAATATGAAATAATCTCTGATATCGTTAAATGAGAATGAAGAAAACAAACCGGGTCAAATGTGACCAATCTGGTAAGTAGATCGGCTGCATCATCATTCCCCTGTGTTAAATGAATAATTTTTTGTGGATTTGGTTGTCGAAATGGTGAAGAAAGGATATGTTTTCGAGCCCCTTCACATGCTGTCTTCATTTCCTCCTCATTCGGTGTACCCAACAAATCAACAATCATATTCAACTGCAAATTTCTTTTCTTTTTTAATAATAAAAGATCAATAATAAAATATTAAAAAAAAATTGATAATGAAAATGAATTAAATTTCAACATTTTCCATACATTAACAATTACTGACAACCATCTCAAATTTTAGTGAATGAACAAACAATCAATCATTATCATAAATTTAATTCAATTAAAATATTCAAAGTTTAAAAGAGTTAAATTAATTATTGCAACAAATTGTTTTTATGATAACTTTTAAGAATGAAAAGATTTGTGAGAAGAGAAACCTGTTCAATAGGTCCATGTGCCTGAAAGAGTATTCGTCTTCCTAATAATTCCGCGAATATACAACCCACTGACCATACATCTACAGCCCCCGTATATGTTCGCGCACCCATTAATAATTCTGGAGAGCGATAATACTGTGTAACTACCTGTAAATTAGTTATTATTAATCGAGTGTTCTTTTATTTTAACAAATAATACAAATAAGATAAAATAAATTTTGAATTTAGACAAAATGTTTAAATTTGTGAAAAACAAAAATAGCAAACAACTTTATGAAACATTTGGCAATTCTTATAAAATAATTCAATATTGAATAATATGAATCTTTCAAACTTGAAATGCTTAAAAATTTACTTACTTCATGGGTCATAGCTAATTGTTCATGTGGATCCCACATCCTTGCTAATCCGAAATCACAAATCTGAAAAAAGAAATATTCCGGAGAAATCCAATCAGTATGACTGATATAGTTCTTCAATTGTCAATCACAGAATTTCAATATTTTTAATACAGACTAACTTGCCAATTATTTATTTGTATTCATCGCTGTGAAATGGAGGGGTTAGCCATTTTAAACTATAAAATTAGTTGTTATATCTAATGAATGATAACCTTAACATACATATACTCGTGAAAATTTTCGATTATTTATTTTATATCCTATAATTAATATATTCATCAGCTATAAAATACTCTTTTGTAACTATCCCATAATAATTTACTGATAAAAGATAAAAATAAATTACCTTCAAAATGCAATTACTATTTACTAGCAAGTTGCCCGGTTTAATGTCACGATGTAAAATATTAGCCGAATGTAGATATTTCAATCCTTAAAAAAAATTAAATCCGTGGTTTAAAATTGAAATTTTAATTTGAAATATTAGTTAAAAAGTTTAAGACAAAATTCTTTCAACATATTTACATCGATCATCTATTAAGAACCAGTCCTAAAAATTATTATTAAATATGTCTAAGCTAATACTCAGCTATATTTTTACAAATTTCTTTAGATAGCAACAAAAAAACCTGTTTTAATTACCAAAAATATAAATTTACACCAAACTCATTAATTTGCCAATAAATTTATGGAATTTAAACTAACCTCTCAAAATTTGATAAACGAATATTTTTACATGATCAGTGGTAAGTGGTTGCGGTGAGACAATAATTTTGTGCAAATCGCTTTGCATCAATTCTGTCAAGACATATCTGAAAAACATTAATTAATTAATTAAAAATTTTCCAAAATTTCTTTCAACAATGAAATAATGAATTGAAACAGTAATATGCTTCCAAATACTCTTTTGTCCCCTTAAAATATATCAGACTTAATTTATGTTATCATTCCATATCTCTTATCTTTCTCTTTCTCCAATTACAGTAACTGATATTTGGAAAAGGAAAAACTTACAGTTCTTGAAAAAAGTGAGGATTCTGTGGCTGTATAATATCGATCATACACAACACCTTTAATTTATCAGATATTTTAGAGACAAATAAAAAAATACTCTAATATTTTCAATTTAAACAATGACAATTATTAATTTAAAAATAATAGAAATTTTCAAAGAGAATTACTACAACTCGATAGCAATTATTCATAATTATGATATTCATTATAGTATCTATTCATAATTATGATATTCATTATAGCAACTATTCATGATTATAACTGAATATCGATAATAACAAATATAATTATAAGCTCTCTCAACAATGCTTGACAGTGAAAAATAGGAAAAAAGTTAGATGAAACAGAAAAATCATTTTATCTCGAAGTTTCTTCTAAATTTTTAAAATTTTAAGTAATCTATTATTATTCAAATTCATAGAGCAGATGGTTTCGTAAGGTAAATTCTCGTTTGGATACTGAAGCAGCTGTTATATTAGTGTTGAAGGAAGGATATGTCTGGCATAAATCTCAATCTTTGGTTTTCACCGCGAAATAATTATTTCATTTCAGACCTTTATTTTAATATTCTATTGAAATGAAAAATTTTGGATCGAAGTTAAATTAAAAATGACACGACTGTCAATTAATTATGTGTGTTCCTTTTTGTTCTTATTTTCCACCACACTCTTTTCTTTTGTTTCACCAAATAAAGGCATTATATGGCATAGCGAAAAGTTTATAATTTTAGAAATGAATAAACAAATATTTTTTTTCTTTTCTCAAAGTAAATTTTCAAAGTTTGTAAAATTCTAATAACTATTTGATTCGTCTATCTTTTATGTTATTACTGGACATTTCATCTGTTTTTAGAAGGAAGAGGAGGAGGAGGAGGAGGAGGAGGAAAACGGAAAGAAATTTGAAATGGAAAAACCGGTCTTAGTTTGATGATCAATCTCTAGAATTGGTCTACGTTGATTTATATGTCTGGACATCACATCTGACGTCAACAGATACCACAAAAGATACTAAAATGAAAAAAAAGCAATCAAAACGATCGCCGATTTCAAATATATTTTGAGATAGCTAAACGAATTATTAGATAATTCAATTCTATACCATTTTATTTTATTCTTATCTTTATTCTCTTATTTTATTCAGTTCTGTTGGAAATGAAGAATTTATCGAATATATTCAATTCTATTCTAAACTTCTCTTTTTCATTCATTCAACAATCATTAATTTAAATTCTTTTATTTATCTTATCACTTAACTAAATCAGTCAAACATCAAAATTATCATATTATTAATTATATAGCAAATAATTCAAATTAAAAATTCTTTCGTTTTCGAAAATTTGAAAAATTTACCTTTGTAAGACTGAAAATGCAAAATAATGAAAAATATATTAGGCATATTCCTAAATGAGCGATAAATAAATCCTTTCATTTCAAAATTCTTTGATAATTATTAGTTATAATAATAATTATAGATTTAAAGGTTACTCACATTGTCGTGTCTAAAACTGGATAACATACGAATTTCCCTAAACACGCGTTTGCATGATGCAAGATTCTGGAAAACATTTGGCATTTTCTTCAGTGCAACACGCTTACCACTACGTGGATCTGTTACCGACCTTCAATAAATAAAAAATATATACTTCAAGATATTATAATTTCAAAATTAAATGAATATAAAATATCCTAAAATAATAGAAATACCAGAAGATACATATTCAATACAATTGACAGTGTAATTTCATGTTTATTCCAGTCAATAAGTGGAACGACACCTACAATACCTACAATGACCTTAATCATTTGTTTAATTAACCCACTGATTAAATTATCCTTAAATTACTTAACTTAGAAATCATAATTCAGATTTTGAATAAAATTACATCAATAATAGGCTTATTTTTAATCGAGCAAATAGCCGAATTGCAAATTTCAAATTTAATAAATAATTTAAGTATCCTTAAATTATTGAAAATAAGATAGGATAAGAAGAAAATGGAGTTTTGAAATTCACAATTCGGTTATTTGTTCGATTAAAAATAAGCAAATAATTCCTATCTTCTTTGCCATTGAAAATGAAATAAAAAGTTGAAACCCCGAACCAGACAACACCAAAAGCGCCATAACCAATTGGACGATCTGGTTGTGTATCATGTTGTTCCATATTTGGTGGACGATAAAATGGTTGTACAGCTGTCAGAATTGCTTGACTTGAATGTGCTACTGAAGGCTAAAAATGCATCATTTAACATTGAAATTATTTTTAATTGAATAATAAAATTTTAAATCTAAAATGATTTACAAAAAAACCTTCTCCTTAAAAAAAGAACAAAATTTCAAAAATTTCCATACATTTTATTATTTATAAAATTCAAACTCGCAAGAACCAAAAATCTTGCAGAAATTACTAATAAACTTAATTAGAAATGTCTGAAATGAGTCCATAATATCCAGTAATCTTCTCAATAACATGATACATGCAAAATATATTTAACCCATAGTGTCGGATAAGTATTTATCTACAGTAATATAAAATTATAATTTCATATGCTGACGATAATTACATATATTCATGAAGTTCAAACTTCTAAATTTGTATACATTAAGATTTTCAATTATGTGGCAATCATCAAAGAAACTTCAACTCCTTTTGCGCAATTTTTAGCTTTAAATTTTCTTCACATTTCAAATTTAATACGCAAATAGACTGATAAGAAGTTAAGAAATCCTCACCTATGAAGTAACATAAAATTGTATGAGTTGAAAATGAATTTGAAAAATTCGAATCTCTTCATTCAACTCAAGGATAACTAGGATAAAAGAATTCTAATACAATAAGAAATAGTTAATGTTGCACAAAAGAATCAATTGATCTTATCAATTATCTAATCACAATGCCGGAATTTTCCACAATCAATATAATTACAAAAAAGTTCTAAATTACTTAATGCCTTTCTCACTTGTAAAAAATATGCAAAAAATAAGATAAAAAGATCACTATAGTTCCTATTTCATTATAATACCAATCACTACAAAATTGAATTGTTTTATTCGTGAAAATGTTCCTTTTTCTTCGAATTTAGAAATTGACAACGAAAAATGATGTGGTGAAAATTAATTAAACAGGTATTTGAAATTTCAACTAGTTATGAGCCATCAATGAAATCGAATAGAACAGAATAATTTATGATGAAATCAATAAGCCAATAAGCTAATAAGACTTTTTGTTTTCTCTCGACTGGCAATAAAAAAAGAAGGAAAAGAAGTGCATTTTTAGTACTTCCAATTTCTAACGATAACATTAGAAGGGCAATAAATGGACAAGAAGAATGAAAAGGTATTGAAAAAGAATTATGAAAAAATAACAAATTTCACTTATTTAACCTCACAATTATCATTTTGAAAGGTATTTTGTATACTTTTCTGCTAAGATTAAATTTTTAATTCAAAAAATATAATTGAAATTTCATAGAGTGACCAATTAAATGAATGAAATATTTGTTCTAAATGAAATGACCCATTATTATCGTTACATTCATTTTGAAGGAAAAAAAAAAATGATGATAACCTGTGGTAAATGTCCACTGTGATAAGAATTTTGTAGCAATTTTGCTGTGACACTTTTACTGTTTAATGTGGTACCATGTCTAGATTCTTTAGCTAATGCAGCAGCTGCAGCAGCAGCTCCGGCAGCACCTGCTCCGGCATACATTGATGCTGGTCCAGCAACTATATTTCCTGTTCCGGTATGATGTGATACTAGTGCCATCTCTTCGACCACCCCTATAAAATGACCACTGTGACCATTGTATATAGTATGATCGAATGAAAACCATCAAAAATTTATGGAGGAAAAATGCATGAGAAATGAAAGATACAAAAAATAGCAATGAAAACCGTTACGGATTCATTCCCGAATAGCGTTCAGTATGGCACGAAGGAAATTAAACATATATAGAAAATAATTATGTGTTGTAACTATCGAAATTTCTAATCATGTCAACGTGAGATTTCAGGTCTATTTATATTAGGCCTTTATAGAATAATATGAATTGATTTATGCCGCATAACTTTAACTGTCTAAATTAATCTTAGCTAGATTAAAGCATCTAAAATATATATCCTACCCAATTTTAACATAATGCAATTATCACCAATTGATAACTAACTATTGCTTGTAGAATTTTGCATTTAAAATCTTCAGTCTTTTTTTAAAATGTAAAACATCAATAATTCATGGAAACCTGTAATGGCGGAGGTATTTTTGATATGTTGGATGGTTTGGTGATTAGTTGAAGTGAACAAGGAAGTAGCAGCAGCACGGATTGCACCGTAAACTATTCTTTCTTGGTAACCGTTCAATGGTACTTGAATATTCTCCGAACAAATTGATGATAACGATGACGCGACTGATGATGACGATGTCACTGCCGATAACTCACTACAGTGATCGTTATTTGCAGTTGCTGATGAGCAACCTGATGAGGAACTACTTCCTGCAAAATTTCAATTCAAAATTGAGCGCTTTTTGCATTCCCACTTAAACTAATAAATTCATCAAAAACAAAATATACCATGAAATTGAAAAAAAAACAAATTCTCAATTTTATAGCTAATAAATTTATAAACAATTTTGTAATATCTTCAGGGATATGAATTTAATTTCATACATTTATAATAATATTTTCGAAATACATGAAAACTTGTAATTGTGGAATTTTGAGGAAAGAAAATAGTACTAAATTTAGGATAGAAATAAGAAGAAAATTATGGAACAATTTTTAAACAAAAGCTAATTAGGATGTGATTAAGGAAGCAAAGTGAAATATATTTTGAAGAAATTCCATAAAAAAAGATAATAAGTAATCATTATTTAATACACATTCTATAGTATTGCCAATTAAGGAATATCAAAAAATGGTAGTAAAGTTAGTGCTACCAATTAAGGAATACCAAAAAACAGTAGTAGAAAAATTCAAGGAGTGGAAATCATGAAATTTTGAAGATGAAAAAGATGATGAGAATAATTTGTGGAATTAAAAAAAATTCATTATACTTTCAGGAAGTGTTAATTTGAGTACCACAACTAATAAGAACAAAGAAGTGCAAACAAAATGAATGAGATACTATTTTTTTCCACTATATGAAAGGAGGAAATAAAAGGAAGCAAACTTTTTCAATTTTAAAATTAAAAAAAGAGTAAAAGAGTAGATAAAGAATGTATTAGAAAGTGAAATAGAGTAAGAGTTAGCAATAATATCTAAGTGAAATTTTGATATAAAAATTTTTATGAATTAAAGAAGCAAAAGAATCTACGACGATTGATGAAAATTTTAGGAATAGAATTGAGATAAAAAAGGTAAGCGATAATGATAGCATTCAAGGAGATATTTAGAAATGAAATTAATTTACTTTTACCTTTTATACTTCAACAATAAAAAGAATAAAAGAAACAGATGGAAATATTAATCTCATTTTAAACCATCACATTTGCTACTTTTTTAATGTTAAAACATTACGATAGAAAAATGAATAGCTGTTGAGATTAAATTTTATTAAATACTCTAACTGAGCATTTTAAATTACCGAGTAATTATAAAGCAAATATATGGTAAACAATATTACAATATCAAACGAATGCTGGAAATAATAAATAACATTAAATTGATTAAATTTATTCAATTGTTATCATTTACATATGAAAAATAAACAATTAAACAATTTTGAAAATTTGATTGAGTGAAATAAACAAAACAAATTTATATTATTCAAATCATAGTTTGAAAATTAAAAATAATCAGAACTGAGATTGCTTCTTCATAAAAACAATCTTTTTTTTATCTCACAGTTTAAAGAGGACAGTATCCGAAATTTAATTAATTGCACAAAAACAAATTAATCGATTCGGTAAATTCTCATTTGTTAAAAAATTTAATTTATGCAAAAGAAAATCTTCAATCTTTTCTATGTAAATGTTTACTTAATAATACTAAACCTATTGAATATATCTGTTTCATGAAAATACCATTTATTTATTCTCCAAAATACTATCAATTTTATTTCTCTTATAAAACAATAATATTTCCTCTGCAAAAAAACCTGTTTTATTTAGCCTAAAAAACTACATATATATATATATATGTGTGTGTGTGTGAAATGTTGAGCATAGTGCAGAAAATCGTTGATAAAAATAGAATAGAATTAGTGATCGAATTGCTGAAACAATTAGCTGATTCAAGTCATTATGGTATCTCAGAAATTCCAAACCTAAAATAATGACCTAACAATGATGTCAAGAAATGATAAAAGTAGAAATCTATTTTATTTTTGAAAAATCGATTGCACCATTCGATTCAATTCCTCTTGATAATGATGAAACAGCAATATAGCTAACGAGACATCAGCGATAGAGGAGCAAAGAAAGAAAAAGAGGAGTCAAAGGTCACTTATTCAATCATGTTTTCTTGAGATACTATGCAGCAGGTTGACCTCTTTGGCGGGCTGACCTCTTTTTATGCGCTCATCACTTTCATATAGCAAAAATAATGCATTAACAGATATTTTTCCTGCTATACATTCATTTCGATCCTACTTTTTTCAAAAGGAAATACTAAATGAGCAATATAAATTACGGATTACACGGTCATAAGTCTTTCAACCGCTTTTAAACGATTTCCGGAATCAAATATTGCATTTTTAAGCAACTGATTTCCATTTTTCAACTTTCCGCGAATGAAAAAATTCGTAATGATACATTGGAATACTCATACATTAGGATATCCTTCCTTATATTTTGATCCTCATTTCATTTATACTCCTCCATTAACTATAAAATTCCAAGCACTATTAATTACTTCCATCATTGATTAGAATTTATTAATTATAAAACACATTTGATCATTCTGTTCTTATCAGCTACAACCTATCATCTTCATAACACTTAACAATCCATTTATCAATCAAAACAAAAGAATGTTGACATCATTAACTCACTTCGATTAATCCTTGCTTAAAATAAGTAAATTATAGCTATTGCAAGGAAAGAAAACTTCCTGTCACATTAAAAAAAAATGATTTTTAAATGTAACCTGTTCAATCTTTTTCAAACAATAAAACGGATGACCCCAAAATGTCCTTCAGGTGATATTATGAACTTTCTTTTTTTCAACGATTAAAAACATGGACAGATGGGAACCACTAGACAGACAGACAGACAGACATATAATTACTTCGCCGATTGCATCTTATAGGTACAGAATGGCACCGACACACACACACACGCACGGATATGTATGCGTATGTATGTATGTGTGCGTGTATGTGTCGGATAACAGCGTGAAACGTTCTTAGTGACAGTTTGATCTTTGAATTAAACTAAAAAGATTCCTTCTGAAATATATCGGTCCCTAAGGACAAGAAAAGAAAAAAAGAGGTTTCAATGAAAAAGTGAAAAAAATTCGAATTTACGGAATTGCAAAGAAAAGAACGACAAATATAATTCAAAGATCGAATCTTCTCCTCTAATTCAAATTTATGTTAAAGTTTGAAGCCCACTTGTGTTCCTTTTTATTTAGATATATTACTTCATATATATGCCACATATTCTTTCATGCCTTTAATTTATTTCATACAAAAATTGTAACAATTTTTTTACCGTTCATGTTCCAGCCTTGCACTTCAAGTTTCAGCAGGATAGTAGCATTTCTTTTTTCGAGAAACAACCTGCGAGAAAAACGATACTTTGAAAATATTAGAATCGAAAATTAATTGAATTTAAATATAAAAAATTGTGAATTAATTTTTATAATATTCTCATGAATCATGACGAATGCTTAAGTATAGATCCTGGAACAATTAAGCAATCGTAAATTAAACATTATCTTCCAAGAAAGTTTCTGAAATTAGGATCATGAAATGAATTGGTTTGGAAGCTTCAGAATAAACGAAAAATAATCGTATCATAGAAACCGGAATTGCGAAAAATTGAAGATATTGCAATTAGAATAGCTAATGGACACAGAGAAGAACATCATCTATTTTAGTTCATCAATGACCGACCGCCCTTCTAAGTCCCAATGGTAGGGAAAGGAAATGACCTCATTTTGGTTGACTATTTGCTTTGTTCATTTTATGGTATGGTTGAATCTTCCCAGACATTGCGCTATTGTCCGTAAATTCTCAATCAGTGCATGACAGATGATACTGTGATAATAAGTTATCAGCAATTTTACACTTCTAATATGAAACTAATTTAAGTTAAAAGTTTCAAATTTAGTAATATCTCAAATTCATTCCCAAAATATTGAATAATATTTAGACTTTCGATAAATAGACCTTGAACAGTTACATAAAAAGAAACAAAATTTTGAAACGCTTATAGACGGTTATGGATAACAGTAATAGCTAATTAATCTGCTAATTTAATCCAATTGTAAAGAAACCGTAATAAAGATTTAATTTCAAGAAAACAATTATGAAACAATATATTCTGATGATACGGATAAAATTCCGATTCTGACTAATCACACTGTCTAATACTGTTTCATTCTACGCCTAAATATATACGAATTTGTTAATTCCCAGTGGAGTAATTTATTGTAAAAACAAAAGAAAAACGTAACTATTTAGTTCTAAATTTTATCCTTTTCTTCAACAATGCAATTAACATTTCAAAAAAGATAACTTCATAAATCTTTTAAAATATCAAACTAATGCGGAATAATTTGCGTAATGAAGGAATTTTAACTTTCTTTCACTCTTTCTTCTTCATTTCTCCCTCCACCACTTGTTATTATCCATCACTCTCTTCTCATTAAGTACTATCAATTATCACTGATGACAATATGTCACCAACAACCATTCAAGATGCTTCATTTCTTTGACAAGTAATAATTGATAAAGAATAAGATGACATCAAGTAACAATACGTAAACAAATTAAATATTATTACTGTGAAAAATGATAGACTACAAATTACAATCATAGAAATTTTACAATGAATATTTGTAACAGATTAAAGTGATAGTAATAATAATGACGAAAATAAAACCGAGTATCATGATAATGATAAATGATAAAGAAGTGATTATTATCATTATTTATTATTATTAATAATAATTATTATTACTTATTATTATTATAATTATTACCACATTCTATGATCAAATTAGAATAGTGTTTCAGAAACAAAACGAAAAAATCATGATGATTAGTTGAGAATTGATATTAAATGTGGAGGAGATACAAATGAATGATCAAAGTTGTAATTTCAGTTATAGAAAAAGATTAATGCAAAATGAGAGATATTAGAATGTTTGGGCTGATTTCTCTTTTATCGATTGCACAATCAAAGTTTTTTATTGGGAATTGCTATTTAGTGATGATGATATTTCTCTTTTGTTAGGCTTATTAGGCTTGCTAGGCTAGTATAAAAGAATATTGTGGCTATGTTACTGTCAGAGTAACGATGGCAACAAAATAGGAACTTATCTCAACATTTTTCTGTTTAAGAGAAAGATGCTAATTATTGTTGAAAGCACTTTCGAAATAGAAAAATGATTTGTTTTTAAAATGTGCACTCTAAAATGCACAAATAGCAATCAGTAAGCGCTTGTTTACAATAAATTATTAATAGCCATTACAAGTACAAAAGTATTAATATTACCGTTGAAAAAGTAAATAACACATGCAAAATTCAATAATAAAATAGCTAGGAGACATTTCATTGTTCCCGAGTTATCATGGTACCATCCTGTATATGTATTTCATTATCATCGCTCAATGTAAATACAAGATCAGTGTTTTGAAATGTTGGCGATTGTAATTAAATAGAACACAAAGGCAATCATATTACTGCATGTTGTAGAAGACTTCTACGCCATGATGAAAAGGAACAATCATATTACAGCATAAGGTCAAAGGTTAATACTGCTAAAAACTCAACTAAGAAGAGATATTTATTAATGACAATAAACTAATGACAAACGTAAACAATGTATTTATATTAGAGGGACAAGTGTGGAGAATAAAAGAGTTGACAGATCGAAAAAGAAAAGGTCGTCTACGACAGTGTTGGTTATCGTGAGAGCGATATCACTGACAATAGTCCATTGTATAGGTGTGTGTGTATGTGTCTGTATGTTGGTGTCCATCTGCTTGTCTGCTTACGAGAACATTTAGTAAGAGGTTTCTGATGAATCAAATTTCTAAGTAATCTGATGCCAGTAACGGATGGATAAATGGTAGAGGAACGTACGATTCGATGAAAAATAAGGAAGCACTCATTGACAACATTATTTGAAGATGGACGGTAATCCATATTTCGGTACATCAGAATATATTACATGCTTGACCGCTGGTCAACGTTATGTCCACTAATGCTACATTGGCGTTGTCTGGTGAATGAATAAACGGATTTAGTGAAGCTAATTGGAACATTTATTTCACGACCCTTGTGTCTTCTAACATTGAGTGATAATTCCTGACTCTTCCCTTTATTTTTCCAGCAATAGGAGTGAAGATATAGGAATAAATGTCTGGGATATACAAGGTAGAGGTGGAAGTGTGCGTCTACCGACAATGCAGTAGGGTTCGACGACCGGCGCTTGACCCGAACTGGTACAGAGGGCAGACTCAAACGACCGAACACTTCTATCCTTTCTTTTCTCGCTTATGTGCCAATAATAGCAGCCTTGTGCTGGTGCTGCTGCTTGCTTACCCTTCTCCGCCTCCAAACATCCTCCACTACCGAAACGCGTAAACAGCCCTCGTAACCGTCCCATCTCTAAACAACAACAACAATGTAAGAGGCCACCCGCTCGATCGCCTCTTACCGGTAACAGTGTCAGCAGGCCTCTTCCCCTCTTTTAAACCACTAATTACAGTAATTGAATGGACAGCACTTAGAAATATATGGAAATTTGATGTCAACGTGATGAGTAAATCTAACGAAACATCGTTTCTGTCCAGAATAAATGACCAGTTCGGGGCATAGAGTAACGATCGACATCGGAACATCATTGTTGATTCGTGGAAGAGAATCATTGTCGCTCTTGTATCAGTGCTACATCGCTATCATTTTCAAGTGAACAAAGGGTCTCTCTCATCACTTTGCTGTATTTCTCATAAAATTCGATGAATTACTAAATAGATACTGCGCACTAATATTTCAGGATATAAGAGAAGACAAATACTCAATGCAATTCTAGTGCACCGGAAATATCTTTCAGGAATCGAAGACTATGATTGAAATGAACAAACGGAAAATTTTTATAGTTTGAACACAGCTGTAATTTCAATAAAATTCACGAAGTTTTATAGAGTTAAAAATGAAATATCTGTTAATATTAACTGAAAATTATCAACAAATACTCCATCGTTTTAGTGATTAGTGCCAAAGGAATCGTATTTCTAAATCCGAAAGGAATAATCGTATTTTTGAATCCGAAAGAATTAATCGTATTTCTGAATCCGAAAAGAATAAAAAAATGGTTCTTGTTGTTTTATAAAAATGGAAATTTTTTGAACTTTAGTAAAATCCTCGATGGCCATAACAATTTCTAAACTTTTTTTTAAAAATTTTAATTCATAAATAAATGTGTCATAGAATAAAAATAACTTTATTATAGTTAGTGATGTTTTCAAATATATCATCCAACTTCAAATTTGTTTCATAATACTATATGTTATCAGTTAACGAATTTAAAATCGAATGTAACTCTCGGCCTCTTTTTAATAAATCGAAATCTTATTTTAACGTTCAAAATACTTAAAATAGAAATTTTGGTTAATCAATCAAAATTTGTGTTGTTCAAAAAAATTAAACAAATCGAAGAAAAGTTCACAAATTATAAAAAATAAGAAATATATATCAGAAGATACGAAAGAAGAATATGAAATTAACAATATGTAAATTTATTCATCTTATCATTCAATCAATGAACTAATAATTAATGAAATAGAACTATCATTGCTGTTAGAATCTCATGACCGATATTATTAATTATTATCCTTCTTCATATATCTGACACGAAATTGAAGAATTCCAGATATATGGTGTATTATAAAAACGATAAATAAATTGTAAACATATATTTATGTGCATATATGAACTATTTCAAATTTCTACGAATATACCTAAATAAGATCCATTAATGAAACTATCGTTTGGAAGATAACCAATTCTGCTGTTGAAATTTGATTATCTTTCAAAAGTTAAAAGTATCCTCTATATTTATTCTTCTAATCTTCAACTGAAATATTAAAAGTATATAATATGAGATATAGAAATAATCCAATGTAATTGTTGCAGTCAAATATAATTTAAAAACTAATCATTTGGCAAACAAATTGGATCCTTAACCACTACTATCATATCTCTCACTATCACGATTTCAATTTTACCTTACCTTATCCAATTCCATTTAAATTTACAAGCGCTATTTATCGCATCATTTACTTTATCACTGATTATGAAAATGTATGATCCGTGAGATATCAATGGCACATTATTATTTAATACCTAACATCAAATTACCGTATGATATAAGCAAAAAATTGTTGGAACAAGAAATGACTTTGATATAAATTTTCTTACCCGCTATATGACATCCTCTAGCAAATGGTAGACAAAACATCGTAAATTATTGACTAATCAAAAATTTATGAGGCAGACGGCGGGGATGATGCTGACAGTGTGAAATAGAGATTTAAGAGTTTCTTGGAGCAAAAGGCCATTAGGAACTGACCACAAAAAAGGTATTGCACTGCACTTACATTGAAAATCAAATTTTCTTTTCTTTTAAAACTTTAAAAAATGATTACAACAATCCTTCTGTTTGCGCTGCTACTAAAATTAAAATAATTTGACGTCAAGGAATGATACCTAAGCAACTAAATTTGTCATTTAACTTTTTCTTATGTAACTCTCAGAAATTATCGAAAGAACAAGAATACTTCAAAGCATTAAATTCGCAGAGAGAGACAGAGAAAAAAAAAAGAATGTTTAAGTGTATTGCTCTGGGAGAAGATACAAATAATATCAGTGATGAAAATTTGTTAAACTAAAATAATTACAACAATAAAGAGATTCAAGCACAGCTCTTATTTTGCAAGTTAATTGAGAACAGTTGAATGCTCCGTAATATAATTTACAAATTAATGAAATGGAACGAATGAATGGAGAATTGAATGAATCTTTTTGAAAGACTAATTCAGATGCATGGACACAATCATATTATCCACCAAATAACTACATTATATTCAACATACGATAAATGAAACGATCAAATGTTAACTTGGAAATAATCAAATTAACTAATCGAAAAATAACATCAGTCAAAATAAGGAAGTTATATTCAAAATATTAAGAGCAAAAAATGAAGAGGAAGTGCAAAAGAGAATCAGTAATATGATAGGGAAACAAGGAAAAATGATGGAAGAGGGTGAAAGTTTATTTGTAAAGCTGCTAAAAGTCAAAAATTTAACATCACCTGAGATATTAACAATAGCTTTCATTTTTATTGCAAAAAATTCTTCCTAAAAACTGTCACAAATTCAAATATTCAATCAAAAAGCTATCCATTCTTAGCTTTCAGAATTGTAAATGAATGGAATAAGAGGTGCGCTTAAGGTATATGAATATGAGGGAAGATAAATCCTAAAATGAATGAAAAAGAGGAGAAGGGTAGAAGGCTGGTTTCTGAATCTCAGCATTATTTTCATGTAAACAAAGACTAGTTTATACATATCATTATTTTTTCTTCGCTTATTTCAATTTGTTGAAAATACTTCTTAGGTAAAGTGGGAAAAAAACATATTTAGTAATGGATGAAATAAGCGGATACACAAAGAATGAATCGAATGAAATTTTCAATATTCGGTGCAAATATTAATTTATCAATTAATAACGATTTAAAATAAACATTATTTAAAAGATAAATTTTTGAAGAAGAAAATAATTTTAAAAAGTAGGAACAAAACAAGCTTTCACTTCATTCCTTTCCTAAATCAAAACGTTTTAATGAGAAGAATTCTGAAAATTTTCAAACAAAAATATTTTTTGGACTTCTACCTGTTGATAGAAATCTTGTTCGTTGATCGTTTGTGTTGACAAATTTAGTATTAGAACATCCGTCGGTATGTAATAGTATCGTTCCGTTGCGATTATGCGAAATTTAGCGATTTCTGATGATTGCCGCAATTGAAGTGAATGAAGATGATAACAAGAGTGACAGTTTGCTACAACGAGCAAAGTACCACAAATATCTTCACCAAGATTGACGTTAAGTGCCAAAAGAGTAAGTGAAGTATCACTCACCAACGTGTGGAAATTTAGCAGAATTTGTGTAAGTCAATCGACATTTGTTTCCGAATATTTCAGAATTGTAATCATCAAAACATACAGAAAATAATCCAAAAATGTTGAATTTTTGAAAAAAAAAGAATAACTAATGGAAATAGATTAGTGACTGATTCCGGTTATCTTTGCCGGTTAAATTTCCGAATTTCCAACAGAAAGAATGAACCAAAAAAAATATTTCGAAATTAGAAGAAAGTTCTCGGAAGCTTTCAATTTGCTTTTTTGCTTGTTGGACGGAGAAAGCCGCTGAAATTGAATAAAACAAGATTAGTTTTTTGTCACCTCCTTTTCATTTTTGAATTGCTTTTCAAAATGCCGTCATCAGCGCAACACATGATGTTTTCATGATATCAGAGATAAAGACTGTTATCACAATAAATCAGAAAGAGGGATTGTTATCACAATATGTTGTTGTAGATATTGAATCATTTACATGGTTCCATATACTTCCACTTCCATATCAATTGATCTGAATAATCGATCCGGAAAAGATGAAAGTAGGGCATAAAATGGTAGGACAAATATCTGAGAGTTTCTTTTAGACGTATAAGCATAATGCATAAATAGAAGCCAATCATAAGAAAAAAAGGAATTCTGATTCACTTCATTAAGGAAGTTGCTAAGATTCAGTAATCATTTACAAGAAATTAAATTGTTCACCATCCGTTATTCGGGAAGAAAATTAGAGGAAATAAATATCCCGGGACAATATTTGAGGGGTTATTGCATTAAAAATTATTTAATAAAGAAACTATTAATATGATAAGAGATCTCTGCATGTATTTCAGATGATAACTATATCTATAGTTTAGAATTATTATAAGAAAACAATATTTTTGTAAAAAAAATATGATTTTCATATAACAATCGAATACAAAATGTGAAGAGAGAGAGAGAGAGAGAGAGAGAGAGAATAAAAAGAATGAAAAATTAGGTTAAAATAGGAGATGGTATGAAAGAGTGAAAAAAACGAAGAATCATTATGATACGGTTAATTTCAAAGAAAAAAAAAACCTAAATTGGCTCACAGAGAAAAGAGAATGATAAGATAAAAAAAGAGGTCATACTATCACCCTAAATCGTTGTTGCCACATCTTTGGAAACAATTTTTTGTCATATATTTAGTCAAAAAAATAATTCTTAAAAAAAAGAAAAGTTAAGAAATAAAAAGAAGAGAGGGAGAGAAAGAGAAACAGAGAGAGAGAGAGAGAGAGAGTAATGTCATCTAAACTAATGCTATTAGAAATAAAATTACCTCTGTCCTCTCTTTCCTTTTATGCATTCTTCTGATAGAACGCAAAATAATAAAAACCTTTTTTTTAAAAAAAAACTTTTATTGGTTCATTGTTGTCTCGTACAAGAAAGGGTGGAAAGAGTGGTAACTACGGGACAGTTCCCATCATTCTAAATGCTATTTATTTC